CAGACTCACCTGGAAAGGATCTTTAAGATACAGATTCCTGATCCAGTCTACCCTTGGAGATTCTGATTCAGAAGGCCTGGGCTGCAGCCTAGCATGATCCTATGTGTTGGTGACACTGTGCCCACCCATGTTAGGACACCTGTGGACTCTGAAGTCCTGTGACTCTGCTATGGAAACACCATAGCCTTGTCCTTAGGCACAGCACCTGGCTTGCCCCACCTTGCTGGGTGAGGTCTGTTTACTTGGTGGCAGATCACCAGGCAGGGTTTTTGGGCAGTGACAGTGGCTTCTCTCTGTCAGCAGGAATGAAAATGCCCAGCTGTTCTGAGCTCTGCTGCTATTGGGAATTGCACAGGGTCAAGCATCTTCATTACAGCTGATGCCCCAACAACTTAGGGGCCTGAATCCCCAACTTTGCTTTGATTTGTGGTCTCAATCTCCCTGCCAGCCCCTTGGCTGCTCCTGCCTCAGCAGAACAAAGGCTCAAGTGCCAGACTTTGCCTCTGGAAGCCCCTTAAAAAAAACAAAAAAAAAAAAAACAAAAAAACAGTTCCCATTGACTTGATTCCGACTCATAGTGACCCTATAGGACAAAGTAGAACTGTTTCCAAGTAGGGTTTCCAAGGCTGTGCTCTTTATAGAAGCAGACTGCCACATCTTTCTCTCTCAGAGCAGCTGGTGGCTTTGAACCACTGACATTTTGGTTAGTAACTGAGTGCTTCACCTCTGGAAGCATCTGCCCATTTCTGTTGCCTGCCCCTGCCTGGAGGTATAATGATAATTAAACAGAAGGGTCCTCCTTCATCCCTAGCTCCCTGCCTCCTGCAAATTTCCAAATAGGCTTTGTAGAAGGTGAAGTCTTGCTCTTGGCATGTGCAAGTCTGCTGATTGTTAGATAGACGTCCCTTCCATTCTTCTCCACCTGAGCACTAGGTAGAGGTTTAGCAGTTGGCAGAGCAAGCAGTACTGGACATGGGACTTGGATGGCTGCACTCTAGGTCACTCATTCTTCATCCTTGTGTGTGTGCGCGTGCATGCTCACGTGCGCATGCTGTGGGTGTGTGTCTCCTGGGGAGGAGATACAGGGATCTGGAATCCTGGAGGGGATCTTGCACAGTTGACCCTAGTCATGGTTCCTGGATCCCTTGGTGGGGGAAGGAGAAGGTGGAGAGAGGCTGGAGGGGTGAAGGCCCGTGCGTGTCTGGTCCAGCAGGAAGAGACTGGAGCCTTCGCAGCTTATCTAGGGTTACCATCACTGAGGTCACTTTCTTCGTGACTGTGCCTGAGGAGGCTGGCTTATTGCCTCCTGAGATCTCTGTGCTTGTACAATCTTGCCTTTGGATGAGTCTATGGTGGTTCCTTGATGGTTATTTTTAATATTTTCTGGAAGTCTTTTTCTACCTTCTTTTCCTCCTGTTTGGTAAGGATCCCAACTCCTGAGGGCTTCAGATTCTATCTCTTGGGCCCTTGACACCAGAGGCCATGGGTTGGCTTTATTTCAACAGAGAGTTAGTTGTCTTTTCTAACTCTGCAAGACACCTACAAGCTGAGTACAGTGTCAGCTCTGGAAATTACTCACTGTGGGACCCCTGATGATTTGTTTAACTCCTCTGAGAGCCTTTCTCCTTTTTCATCTTCTTCTTCTCCTTTTTTTATAAAGAGAGAGATGATTATGACACTCACCCTTTGCTTGGGCTGTTTCATTGAATCTGCACAAAATTTCTGCAAGGCAGACACTGTTATGTCTCCCACCCACCCACCCTCCTCAGCCACTGTCATGAAGCCAGAGGGAGAGAGGAGGGCGAGCCACTGTCCAGGGTGCACCGTCCTGAGGGAATTTTGAACTCTGCAGGAATTTCCTAGTCACTGTAGAATTTCCTCTCAGTGTTGGAGGTTGCAGTTTGTCCTTCCATTTCAGTCTTTCTGCACCAACACTGGGATCAGAACACAGAGATGGAGCTAAGATCTGGCCGGAGAGTTTTTTTTTGGAGGTGGGGTGGGGTGGGGTGGTCAGGTTGCATATTTACACAGGTGCCAGAGCCTAGGAGTATTGGAAGTTTGGGTAGCCTGGCGCCAGGAGCCAGATAGACCCAGTGGTTCAGTCCCCGCTGCCCAGTTCCATGCTGCTGAAGCTGGAGTTTATTCTTTCTCTGTAAAATGTGAATTACAATATGCATCTCATGGGATTCTTGTGTGACTTAATATGGGGTATAGAGTATGTCCTTGATATATAGCTTTTTCATTCCTTTACTTTTTAACTCTCCCCTGAAAAAAACAAACCCATTGCCATTGAGTCAATTCTTACTCTTAGTAACCCTGTAGGACACATAGGGTTTCCAAGGCTGTAATCTGTACAGAAGCAGGCTGCCAATCTTTTTCTTCTGGAGCAGCTGGGGGTTCAAATCACTGACCTTTTGGTTAGCAGATGAGTGCTTAACCACTGTGCCACCAGGCGTTTTACCCCTTAACTACCAAAAACCAAACTCACTGCTGTTGAGTCAATTCGACTCATAGTGACCAGAGCTCCCTTACCCCTTAACAAGAGCCCTATAAATTTACAGGAATTTTAAATTGTATCAGAGTAGTCATATACAATTTCATGAAACATACAATTGGGCTTTTAAGAGAGCTCATTTTTATATTATGGTAAAAATAAGTAAATAAAACATTTGCCAGTTCAACAGTTTTCACATGTCCATCTTGGATTGTGTCCATCTTGTTGTGCCACTGTCAGCATTATCCTTTTCCAAATTATTCTGCCCCATTAATAGAAACTCAGTGGTCCCTAAGGAATGACTTCCTCTTTCCTCTTCCCTCCCACTCTTACTCAACTCACTACCGCAAGTCGGATCCGACTCATAGTGACTCCTTGGGTTTCCAAGGCAGTATCTCTACAGAATAGATTGCCTAATCTTCCTTCTGAGGAGTGGCTGGTGGGTTTGAACCGCCAGCCTTCTGGTTAGCAGTCAAATGCCTTAGGCACTGTGCCACCAGAGTTCCCACCCTTAGTAACCACTAATAAACTCTGGTCTCCATATTCTATTTTGTGTAAGTGGTTTCATTCAATAATTGTCCTTTTGTGACTGACTGACTGTATTCAGCATGATGTTTTAAAGGATCATCCATGTTGTCACATGTTATCAAGACTTCATTTCCCTTTTTGGCTGAGTAATATTCCATTGTATGTATGTACCACCTTGTGTTTATCCACTGGTGTGTTGGTGGACATTTAGGTTGTTTTCATCTTTTGGCTATTGTGAACAGTGCTGTAGTGGACTTTGGTTCACTACAAATGGGTTCACCTTTTTGTTTTCTTTTGGTCTTCCTTATTCATTGTATTTTATTTCATCATATATTGTATTTTTCTGTGAATTTTCAACACATAGATGTTATTTCTCAGTTGTATCACCTGGTATATCTTTCATGTCTCTAGTTTATGTTTGATTGCTTTCCTTTTCTTTATCTTTGTCTTTTTTGTGAGTTGCTTAATGACATTATCCATCTCATTTATTAACTTTTCTGCAGTGATTATTTATTTTCCAGATTCCTTTCTTTATCTCCTTTAGCTTATTTTCATTCTGTTGTACATAGGGTCACTGTGAGTCGGAGCCTACTTGACAGCACCTAACAACAACAACCATTTGCCTTTTTACCAAACTGTTGTGTATCATGTCATCATCTGTCTCATCTCTTATGGAATCATATTTATCTTTTATGTTGTTTATTCTTGGAAAATAATTGTGGATTGCTTCTGCTTAGATCCCATAGTTCTATATTTGGATATCTTCCCTTTGGAACACAAACTGAAGGGCAAATTTATTTAATCTAGAATACGGCATATGTGTCTGGTCATCAGGGAATGTGGTGTGCGTGCAGTTCACTTTGGTCCTGAATTTAGGGTTAAGGGTACAGTAATGCCTACCCTATATTGAGTTCCTACTGTATGGCAGACATTGTTCTACACCCCTGGCATGAGTAGGCAAGTTTATTATTGGAGTCTTTGGGTTATGCAAACAATTAATGTGCTCCCGTATTAACTGATAGTTTGGCAGTTTGAGTCCACCCAATGTGCTTTGGAAGAAGTGTCTGATGATCAATTCTGAAAGGTCCCAGACATTAAAACATCTATGGAGTGTAGCTCTACTCTTATACACACAGGGTCACCTGAGTCAGAGCCTACTGGACAACAACTGGTAACTAAGACTAAATTTATTAACAGTCTTACTTTCCAGATAAGGTGATCAAGACAGTGAGAGATTAAATAATTGACCCAGAGTCATCTAGCTAGAATCTGGCAGAACTAGACTCCAGAATCTGTAGTCTATCTTTCTTTTCAATTAATTAATTAATTTTTTTACTGTGGTTTGGGTGATAGTTTACAGAGCCAATTCATTTTCCATACAGTAGTTCGTATGCATTTTGTTTCATGATTTGATTGCAATCCCTACAATATAATAGCATTCTTCCCACTTCCTGTGGTACCTTTTCCTTGTATCCTTCTTTCCTATGCATTCCTGGCCTCTGAGCTGTCTTCTTGTGCAAATACTGCCCTTCTGATCTCCCATGATTGATTGTTCTCTAAGGAGTGTACCTACCTAGTATAAATGTTCACCTTATATGCTTTTCTGTTGTTTGCCTGGAAGCCACAGGTGTGAGTTCAATTCCATACCCAAAGGGTGACTACGGGCCATAGTCTTGGGGGTTTCACCAGTCTCTATCAGACCAGTAAACCTGGTCTTTTTTATGACTTTGAGTTTTGTTCCACATTGTTCTTCCACTCTATCCTGGCTCTTCTATTTTGATCCCTTTCTGAGTGGTTGCTATGAGACTTTTTCTAGGGCCATTTTACTTGACTCCCATTTCCCTTTCAGACTTCTGTTTATTTTTTCATGCTTATTCCCCCAGGATTCCATTTCCTAGGTCTGTGGCTCTGGGCAAGTCACTTAAACGTCTCTGTTCCTCCATTTTCTTGTCTATGAGAAAGAATTTAGGGTCCTTACCTGTGAAGGTCATGGGGGTCAAGTCTTTGAAGCACTTAGAAAAGTGTGTGGCACAGAAGAAGGCCTCCATCATCTCTGTCTGGGTGATGATGAGGATAGTGGTGACAATGGCCATGGTTCCTAGACCCCTGAGCATCTTTTTGCCTTCCCTCAGAGTAGTTGTGTCCGTAGCACAGAATGGAAGAGCATGTTTTACTCCCTCCTACCTTTAGGAGCTCTGCCAGTTGCTAAGTGTGCTTTCTGCCCATCAACAAAACTAAGAATGGAAACTTGTGGTGAAGCCCTAAGGACTGACCCAACCTCCTTTACCCCCACGAGCATGTGAAGGCCAGGCTCACAGTGCCAGCCTTTCCATATGCAGTGAGAACTGGAATTGTTGTTACCTGCCCTGTGGTACAGCCAAGCCACGTGGAGACTTGCAAAGGCAGCTGGAGAGTGTGGAGTCCCAAGTACTGTTGGGTCAAGTATGATAATGGCTTTAGCCTGTTGCAAGCATTTCACCATTGGAACATCTTGACGTTGTTTTGAGAAACATAGCACCTTTGAAGTCCTTGTGTCCCCAGCTTCCATCTTGCTTTTGGGAATAGTGTGACTTATGGGCTTGGGTAGGTACTGTGTGTTTTTGCCCCTGGGAGACCCTCCTTCTGTGACTGTGGGTTGCCAGCCCCCCAGAGGACTACTTTCTTGAGCTGTGAGGCAAGGCCTCCATGGTGTCCTGACCCTGCAGTATGTGTGGGTCACCTTGAGTGGACAAGTGCATAGTTAGCTGAATTTGTTTGTGCAGTGAGTGTTACACTTGTCAGTGTGCTCAGAGTTGGGGTGGCACAGAGAACAGAACCCAATCCAGTGGGGAGGGACACGTGCACACAGTGGTTAGATTAGCATGAGGAAGGAGGGCTGCAGGATCACTAGGGAGTATCACAGTCTATCTCCCAGGCACTCTGGGGAAGCCCGAGGCAATAGGAGTGGATGAAGTTACAAAATGTCTCTCAGAGGGTGATTTTAGGGATCTCATTTCCAAGTTCTTGCCCCAACAGCTTCCCTATGACCTCCACAGCATCGGGATTCCAGGAGGGATGGAGAAGAAATAAAAATAGAAATAGATAACACTAACAGAGTACATCTTGGCTAAGCATGCGGTGTAGATTCTCTCATCCAATCATGAAGTACATGGCCCACTGAAATGAGATCCCCTGGTGCTCTAGCCCACCTCATACTTCCCTTTGCCCCGCTTCTCACTCTCCTCCATGCTATTCCTTATGCTGTGCCCTTTGTCCAGAGCAGCCGTGGCTTGTTGGCCTTGCAGGCTTTTTTTTTTTTTTTTTACTATTTTTTTTTTTATTAGAATTTACAGAGTAAATTCACTTTTCATACAGCAGTTCACATATACTTTGTCTCATGTCATTGACCAAAATTTACAATGCAGCAGCTCCCCTCCCACTTCCTCCCCATAGTTACCTCCTCCCAGTGTCCATCCCTTCATACTCTTCTGCACCCTGAGCTATCTCCCTGTGCATAAGCAGCCCTTCCTTCTCCCATGATTGTTCTCTCCAGGCTTGCAGGCTCTTAATGTTCTCCAAAACTCAGCCCAGTCATCACTTGCTCTGAGAAGCCTTCCATGATTCCCACAAGCTGACAATTGGTCTCTTCCCCTTATAACTGTACATTTTTCTATAATTTCTTTAATCACATTGTTCTGTAATTTTTTTCACTTTGAAACTTAGTTTTAGTAACCTCCAAAAGACATAACACATTTTATTTTTGTTTTCGTAACAAGTCAAGCAGTACAAGTATAACTGAAATCTGCCTTAACCTCTAACCAGTTCCATGTCCCTCCTCAGACTGGACGAGGGCTTATTAACAACCTGTGATACACAGATGACACAACTTTTCTTGCTGAAAGTGAGGATGACTTAGAGCACTTACTGATGAAGATTAAAGACTACAGTCTGCAGTATGGATTACACTTCAATATAAAGAAAACAAAAATCCTCACAACTAGAGCAATAAGCGGCTTCACGGTGGATGGAGAAAGATTGAAGTTGTCAAAGACTTCATATTACTTGGTTCTGCAATCAACGCCAGTGGCAGTAGCAGTCAAGACATCAAAAGAAGTATTGCATTGTGCAAGTCTGCTGTAAAAGACCTCTTTCAAGTGCTGAAGAGCAAAGATATCTCCTTGAAGACTAAGATGTGCCTAACCCAAGCCATGGTATTTTCAATCACCTCATATGCACGTGAGAGCTAGACTATGAATAAGGAAGATCAAAGAAGAGTTGATGCTTTTTGAGTTGTGGTTTTCATGAAGAATGCTGAAAGTACCGTGGACTGCTAAAAGGACTAACAAATCTGTCCTGAAAGAAGTGCAGCCGGAAAGCTCCTTGGAAGAGAGGATGGCCAGACTTCACCTCACCTACTTTGCTCATGTTATCAGAAGGGACCATTCTCTGGAGAAGGATGCTTGGTAAGGTGGAGGGTCAACAAAAGAGGGGAAGGCCCTCAATGAGCTGGATAGACATGGTGGCTGCAATGATGTGCTCAGGTATAATAGGGATAGTGAGGCTGGCACAGGATTGGACAGTGTTTTGTTCTGTTGTATATGAGGTTGCTGAGTCGAAGATGACTTGACAGCACGTGACAATAACAGCCTCAGAGGTAGCCATTTAAAAATAGTTTTGGGGTGTGTATATTTACACACATACATTATGGGGCAGTGGTGGTTCAGTGATAGAGTTCTCCCCTTCTATGAGGGACACCTGGGCTCGAATCCTGGCTGATGTACCTCATGCACAGCCACCCCCATCTGGGAGTGGAGCTTTGAGTGTGGTTATGCTGCTGAACAGGTTTCAGTGGAGCTTCCAGACTGAGATGGACTAGGAAGAAAGGCCTGGTGATCTACTTCCAAAAGTCAGCCAATGAAAATCCTATGGCTCACAGCAGTTCAGTCTGCAACCAATCATGGGGATGGCACAGGACTGGGCAATGTTTCCTTCTGTGGTACATAGAGTTGCCATGAGTTGGGGCCAACTTGATGACAGCTAAAAACAACAAATTATACATACAGTGTTATGCCCATAAATGTTTAACAAGCAGCTCTTGGGGCGGGGCATGGACTGGGGAGGAGCCATGGTTCATGGTGTTTGCCGATTTCCATGGTATAAGTACTCCCACTGCTGTCAACATGGCATGACAGAACATAGAGTTGGAAAGAGACATGCACACTTGGCTCCTTCAAGCTGGCTTGTGGTGGCTCTACTGCACCACTGCAACATATGTACGTAACTGTAGGCATATGGAGGACCTTTTTGATAGGTATGAATATGGTATACTTTAGCTATTCTTTCTGTTTTCCTCCAAGGTTTAAGCTGAGCTCTTTTCCCATGATGATGGGTTTCAGTCTGGTTGGCTATTCTAACTGCTGTGTAGGATTCCACACTGAGCAGCCATTATTCATGCCATCCTCTGTTGATGGACATTTTGGTTGCTTTTCCTTGGGTATGTCTTTGCAGTAGTCTGTGTACTCCTGGGCCATAGACATTTCTCATCTGCATCCACGTGGATGCTGTGAGACCATCTTAGAAGGACTAGGATGAGTGGATGCTTGAAAACAGCTGGATTGGATGCTGGGTCTTTGCGCCCTGTTTGGCCAATGACTGCAGGACAGATTCAGAGAGAGGGAATGCCAGAGGTATGAACCAGTCACTGACATTGTGGACCACCACCTGATGTCTCTGTGATGGTGCCGCTGTCCATGTTGTCATCTCTAGTTCAGTTTAGTGGCTGCAGAAGCCGTTGGGGTGGTGGCCTTGTTTTTAGCCAAGGACTCTGGGCTGCGTTTCTTGGCCACTGGGGAGGTGAGGTCATCTGGGACAGGTGGCTTGGGACCTTGGTCATAGCCTGAGTTATCCAATGAGGCTTCAGCCCTGACCTTGGCTCTGATCCTGAAATTGGCAGACAGCGAGAATAAAATGTATCCAGCTCGCACTCTGTGAATAAAATGTATCCAGCTCGCACCCTGCTCTGATAAAAGCCCGGAGTACAAGCCCTAACTGTTGTTAGCTGGTGAATGTTTATAAAGCCCTCTGAACGCCAAGCATGATGCAGAGCAAGGAGCACGTGGAGATTTTGCAAAACTTTCCAGAGGGTGTGCCCCGATTTGTATCTGAAGATAAAAAGATGTTATTTGATGAAGAGTCTTAATATGCTGTTATTTGTGTACTTGATGAAGGTTTTTTTTTTTTTTTTTGTGACCAGGCATGTCATAGATGTATATTAAGTACCAGCTACATGCTTAACCCCTGGTGCAGGCAGGGGTGTTAAGGAGCAAGAGTAAGGTCTGGGTTAAGACCATGTACTCTGGAGTAAGACTGTGTGGGTTCAAATCCTGTCCTTTTGGTCATGAGATCCTATCATAACTGTACTGCTTGATGGATTTGCACAAACTGAGCTCATCTGTGCAAGCAGCACCCAGATTAAGAAAGAGAACCTGAGTAACACCCCAGAAACCCTCTTTTAGCCACTGCTCCCCACCCCAACTGTATTAGCCAATAGCTTGCATCATTTCACCTGTTTTGCATTTTATGCAGACAGGATCATATGGTATGCACTTTTGTGTTTGGCATTTTTGGTAAAATATTGTCTTGTCTGTGTCATCCTTGTTTTTTTGCATGTAATTGTAAGTCATCCATTCTCATTGCTGTGAATTATCACCTCTTACTTTATTCATTCTACTGTTGATGAACGGTTGGTTAGCTTTTGGTGTAGGGCTTTTGGTAGACCAAATAATGGCCCCCCAAAATATCCAAGGAGCCCTGGTGGCACAGTGGTTAAGTGCTTGGATGCTAACCAAAAGGTTGGAGGTTTGAAGCCACCAGCTGCTCCAGTGGGGAAAGATGAGACAGGCTGCTTCTGTAAAGATTTATAGCCTTTGAAACCCTGTGGTGGGGTAGTTCTACTCTGACCTGTAGGGTTGCCAGGAGTTGGAATCGACTTGATGGCACCCAATAACAGCAGCAGCAGCAACAAAGATGTCCACGTCTTAATCCCTGGATCCTGTCAATATATTACCTTCTATGGCAAAAGGGGCTGCGCATGCAGTTAAGTCAAGGATATTGA